GGAAAGGGAGGTTAGAAATCGGTCTATAGTTGGCTAAAACCCCTGGGTCGAGAGTGGGCTTTTTAAGAAGGGGTTTAATTACAGCTACTTTAAAGGACTGTGGTACATATCCTGATAATAACGAAAGATTAATCATATCCAGTAAAGAAGTGCCAATTAAGGGTACAACTTCTTTAAGCAGCCTAAGAACCCAAGTCTTTGCTATGTTATTTGTTCAATGAATGGATTGCAGTTAAACAGCCGACTAACTTGTCATTGCTGTGTTTTTATTAGGCATTCTCAGAAGGCACTGCCTCCACCTTTGAATACTCTCTTAAGGAGAAGGCCCCCTTCACCATCAGAAACTCTCTTGGGATCCCTCTCATCGTGCAGCACAGCGCAAACCTGAGACCAGTGGGTTCACCAGCGCAGGGAAAACTACACGAGTTGTCGGTGGAGCAGAGCCTGGATCTGGAGCACTCCATATTTGAACCGTCGTCACGAGGAAAACTGTCAGCTCTGCAGCGGCAGGAGAGCTGCCTGTTCAACCTCACCATCGGTCAGAACACCAGTCTCATTGTGTGCTTCAACATTCAATTCTGCCTGCTACACGTATAAGGAACAGATGCCACCCATGTTATTTGTATTCTTGCTTAGCAAATTGGTTCTCCAGGAGTTGTAACACTTTAGTATATACCACTGGCAGATAATAAACATTCGATTAGCCACAGTGATTGTTGGGGTTCTACCAGGACATTTGGATGGTTTTGGTGACTCTAGCAGGTGAACCTGTAGAAGTGTCCCTCCTGTAAATAAAACTGATGATGTGTGAATAAATGTTAAAGATGGCTCATGTGTGTTTGAACCCATAGTTCCCTCCGGATACAGTGAGATCTCCAATATCGCTGTAGACAAACCGGGTCGCCGTCTCTACAATATCCGCGGTCCGATGCTGCAGGAGGCGGTTTCTGTCCTTCTGCAGATTGATGCTGCTGAAGGCAACAAAGTCATCACTGTCCGCTCACCACTGCAGGTCTAAACCACAGACACTCACCACAGTTCTCTGAAAGGACCACCAGCAGGACAGCTTTATCTGAGTTGTTTGTTTTTTGTGTTTTCAGATAAAGAATCACTTCTCTGTGCCATTCACCATCATGAAGTATTGTCCAACATCCAGGAGCCTGCAGAGCGTCGGAGAGGCCGAACCTGGGAAAGAGTTTCACATTGCCTTGGAAACATACAGGTAGCATCACATTAAGGGTTTGTTCAGCACCATCACTGTTGGTGATGGTCACTATCTCTCTAATTAAAATCAGTGCTTCATGTTTGTGTCCACTGAATATTCATCCTGCAGGTAATTGTCTGTTTTGTTGAGAACAAAAGAAAAGCACCAATATTAGACAGCGTTAATCAGAAATGTTTCCTATCTGAGGGATGTAGTGAGCCTCAACCCAAAAACACAAGTGTGCTGAAATGCCAAACTCATGTCCAGTTGTTGTGTAAAAAGAATTCCCCGGTCAGATATGAGTTTGTGAATACAGCTCTGTTTTACAGACAGTGTCAAAAATGCTTTTCACTGCAGGAACCATTAACCTCTTGACAGAAGACAGAAACAGGAGAGTTTCCACAGACCGTTTGGCTGCTGTGTTGTCAGTATGGGACAGCTTCAGGTGTTGACCCAGGTGTACAGGAGAAATTGATAGTTGTAGTTTTATCCCCCTCCACCAGATGTCAGCTGTTTGTGCGTCCGGCGGGATGCCTGGATGGTCAATATGGCCCATCCTCAACCTGTGTGGCATGGAAGGAGCAGGTGCACCGCAGTTTAGAGGTTCGTTCTGTGCTGCAGTGTCCAGCAACCGACAGCGGCCTGCTGCCACTGATGGTCAGCACACTGGCGGTCCCTGACGACCTGCGCCACATCGCCAACCACGGAGAGGAGGACTGGGACCCTGCCTATGTCATTCACCTCCACCCTGTGGCCACGCTGCGCAACCTGCTGCCCTACACTGTCCGCTACATGATGGAGGTACTACAGCTTCCCCAGAAACAAGCACAAATAGAGCCCAAAACTTATCAACATTCTGTAGAAGTTGTTTACACAGAATATTGTTTTATTTAATTTATCATGGAATTTGAATTGAACCAGTTAGTTTAAAGATTAAGTTTAAATCCACAGAGCAGATCATGAAATTATCTTTTCACTATTTGGACAAACAAACAATCAGGAATCTGAACATGTATCTAAGGCTGTGCTAATGAAATGTAATCCAGTCATCAAATCTGGTCTGTGATCTTTCCTCCTCAGAGATCAGCAGACTCTTACGAGCTTCAGGAAGGCAGCACGTCGGACCTCCTGAACGCTCGTGTCTCAGGCGAGATTGTGTCATTGGTGCTGACAAAGTATCAGGGCCGCGACTGGCATGGACACCTTCGTATAGAACAGGAAATGCCTGAGTTCTTGGCCATGTGTCTCACCTGTGACTCAGACAACACCATGACGGTGGACATGAGCATTCATGTGACGAGGACGTCAAGCCGCCTGCTCCTGTCACTCTTCAGTCCGTACTGGATCATCAACAAGACCTCTCGAGTGCTGCAGTACAGAGCTGAGGACATCAGCGTCAAGCACCCGGCCGACTACCGAGACATCATCCTGTTCTCCTTCAGGAAGAAGAACCTCTTCAGCAAGAACAAGGTGAGAAAATACCTGGACAAGTTCCAACTGCTGTCACAACATATCGGTGTGAAGTCCATCTGATCAACAACCATCAGCACTGTCCTGCTCTCCTTTAGGATAAACTCTGCATGAACCTTTTTGTGTTTTTACTGAAATTTTCAGGTGTTTCCCAAATTAATGTGTTTTTTTTACCTGAAAACTAAAAATATACCCAGCCACACTTATTGTTCTGCAGTGCAGGGAGGTTACCATTAGCAGAATGTGTCATTGTAAGAGCAGTATTTCACTGTGTTGTTGTGTATTGCAGCTCCAGCTGTGTATCTCCACCAGCTCCTGGTCTGATGGTTTCTCTCTGGACACTGTGGGAAGTTATGGCTGTGTGCGCTGTCCCGCCAACAACATGGACTTCCTGGTAACCAAAAATGTCACTCAGCATCAGTTAATTAATCTTTTCTTTTCTTTTCTTTCTATAGAGAAGGCAAGTTGGTATTAAGGAATTTATGATTGATGTTTTTTAGTATTGTTTCACCTTTTATAGACCAGATGAGTAAAAAAAAAAAGGTAAAATAATCGACAGATTGATAAAAATAATTGCTAACTTTATCAGTATTTGCTTCATAGCTTGTGTCTGTGTGTCCAGGTGGGTGTTAGCATCCAGATGAGCAGTTTCAACCTGACCAGGATTGTCACCATGAGTCCTTTCTACAATCTGGTTAACAAGTCTTCGTATGAGCTGGAGGTGGGAGAAGTCACCAGCCAGACCTCCACCAGGTGGCACTACATCTCCTCCACAGAGGTGAATATGACTCCCTTTCATCAGATTCCACAACAACTTGAGTTGAAAAGCCAGTTACAACTCCCAGAGAGCATTGCTGTGAGAACCGATTAATTAGAGAGCTTCAGACTGTTGATAAATCATTATCATCTCCATAGTAACAACTGCTGAGGCTCATGGGTACTGTAGTATGCATTGTAGTATGTTAATGTTTTTATTGATCAGAGTTCAGGAGTGTTTTGACTTCTGTCAGAAACAGTAATGGGCCTTTGTTTTTATATATTTATACCTCCGACCAGCAGGTGAACCATTCTGTTAATGTAAATGATAAAGACACGTAACCAGGTTCATGTTGCTGCTTTGTGTGAAAGAAACAAGACGGTCAACAACTGTCACAAAGAAGTACCTTTATGTGCTTTCCGGGAACACTGTGATTTATTTCTGGAAGCACGTCATTACTAAATCTTACAGAGTAGCAGGTAGTACCAACAGTGTTATTATATCGTTGTTGATCTGTTGTTTATGTTAATGTTGATGTTTTGCAGTGCCTCCCTCTGTGGCCGGAGTACAGTTCGGGGAAGTTGTGTGTCCGTGTGGTCGGATCTGAATCCACATCCAAGTCCTTCTATTTTAACCAGCAGGACAACGGCACCCTTCTGAGCCTCGACATGGTCAGTGTCTCCACCTGATAACCAATCACATCAGCTGATTTTACTCTCAAAGTTTTGATGTGTATTAGGGTTAGGGTTAACCCTTCTTTTGATGTGTGTCTGTGTGTGCTTTCAGTGTGGTGGGATCATCGTGGACGTCAACATCTCTGATCTCTCCACGGTAATCAGCTTCATTGATTACTATGAAGGAGCAGCTCCGGCCCTGCTGCTTAACCACACACCCTGGGTCACCATCAGCTACTGGCAGAGGTCAGAGGTCAACACACACACACATGCAAGGCTAAAAAGAAAAGATTGTCCGGGACAAAAAATATGCCAAATTTCGACACACCTGAGTATGTGACAGGTGCATCAGTGGAAGGTGCTGATAAAGGTTGCACGGACTGAAATGTTGAATAATAAAATATTTTTTCAGCAGTAAGCAAGACAGTGTAGGGGAGTCCCTCATAGAGCTCATAAATGTAGCAACTCACCTGTTCTCCCAGGGTACACAAACCTGTCACATTGAAATTGAATCATTGTACAGCAAAAGCATAATGAAAAGGTAAAATAATTTCTGACCCATCACACCCTGCTGGGGATGCGGAGAGACTGACTTTACTGCTGCAGAAATTACTCTTAATCTGGCATCTTGTATTGTGATACATGCAGCTCTCCATGGTCCACCGGAAATATTGTGACTATTAATTGTGTAATATGTCTGTGTATATTACACACCAAAGTCAAATTCCACCAACTGGAGTGGAGTGAAGTGATAAGTCATATTTTCAGTTAGATATCTCTGTAGCACCAGTCCCTGGTTCCCTGTTCTTTGGGCTATGAAAAAGAAACAAGATGACAAGTTAATTCAATAAAAACACACAAAGTGAGGGGCGGGTGCCTGCTGATGTCATTATGTATCATCTGCTCATACACACTTTAAGGTATTGAGAATGAATCACTGGTTCTCAGTTTATTTTGTAGAAATGCTATAAATCTGAATAGAACTTTTTTGACAATTTAATGGAAAACTAATACCCTCTCTCTCTTTCCTCTCTCAGCGGCTCAGCATCAGTTCACCAGCTGAAACCGGGCGAGGCTCGGCGGTTTGTGTGGGACGACCCGGCCAGTGTCCGAACGCTCAGCTGGAGCTGCATGGAACATTCTGGAGAGCTGGACTTGCTAAAGGTCTGATGTCCATTAATTAAGACCCAAAGTAACAAATCAACCAAAACTGCACCAATAAACTATTATGTCAAAAATATGACGAAGAACTTTAATGTGACGAAGAAATGAATGAGATCTAAAGTCCCAGCTTTAGCCTGACTCTGTTATCATCTTCTGGTCTGCAATTCATAGGTTTACTTTACTTTTTACTTTAGTTTTACTTTACTTTAGTTTTTCCAGTGTTTGGTTATTACGGTAGATTAAAAAATGTTGTGGGGGCAGGGATTCTGTGTGGTGCCGCGCTTATATTGGTCTTTCAATTGGTCTTTCAAACCCAGTAAAACAATGTTTTGATGATGTTCTACCGCCCTCATGTGGCCAAAGCTTTGACCAAAGTGAAAATATAAAAGACCAAGAATAGAACCATCAGGAGCCCCATGAGTAATTACTTACATTACTCATGGGTAATATAAGTAATATTACCCCCACTGACACTGTCAGATGTTGAAAGTAAAGATTAGTTATTCATTGTATTGCTATTACAGCAAGCCAAGAATCACATACAGTCCTTCCCTGACCCAATCTGTATCCGGTCTTTTAGGATGAGGTGGGTCAGTTCTCCTATGACAGCCTGTCTCAGGTCCACTGGGTCTCCTTCCTGGATGGACGCCAGCGGGTGCTGCTGTTCACAGAAGATGTTGCCGTGGTGACAAAGGCCCGACAGGCAGAGGAGCTCGAACAGTTCCAACAGGAAGTAAAGGTGTCGCTGCAAAACCTCGGACTGTCACTGATCAACAATACCAACCGGCAGGAGATTGCTTACGTCGGCATTACCAGGTAAACACATCACCAGATAAAGGTCAAGGAGGTAGGTTACACACGTGTGGTTTGTCTTGGTAGTTCAGGTGTGTTTCTGTGTTACAGCTCAGGTGTGTCTCTGTCTTACAGCTCAGGTGTGTTTGTGTGTTACAGCTCAGGTGTTGTTTGGGAAATGAAGCCGAAGAATCGCTGGAAGCCATTCAGTCAGAAGAACATCAACCTGCTGGAGAAGATGTACCAGAGTCAGCTGAGTGGGAAGACTGAGGGGGGCTGGCTCAAACTGGAGACCAACCTAGAGGTCAGAGGTCACAGACTGAATGCAAATATCCAAATTGATTTGGGTTAGGGGTTTGTCGTTTATCCAATGAGCTTAATGAGAGTGTGTGATGTCACTCTTCATCAGGTGAACCTCAGTGGAGCTATCATGATGATGCGTCAGCCATTTTCCTCCCCGGTGAGAAGGAACTTCCTGTCTGGGATCCAGGTGGAGTTCAAACAGTCGCAGCACCAGCGCAGCCTGAGGGCGCAGCTGCACTGGCTGCAGGTCAACACACACACACAAACATTCACCTGTATGACTCACATGGTTTCTGTGTCCAGGTGGATAACCAGCTGCCAGGTGCAATCTTCCCCATCGTCTTCCATCCCGTTCCTCCGCCGAAATCCATCGCTCTGGACTCAGGTGGATCATCTTAATTACTTGATTACTAGATCACGAACCAAATCCGACATGCTAACTCACCTGAAACAGCCACACTACAGTAGTTTTAACTCATTATTTCAATTTCAATTCAATTCAATTCATAACAGAAGTTATCTCAGGACACTTTTCAAATAGAGCAGGTCTAGACCGAACTCCTTATAACATTTACAGAGACCCA